GTTGGACAAGAACGTGTAACTAAACATAGGATTTGGCTTTAATTCTAGGGAGCCACTAAATCCCATGCCATTCCACAGCCCAGTTCTGAAAAACTTTGAATCTCCTCTCATCATATAAAAGTTAGGATAGTTATTGAGGGCCACAGTCATAGAGATGTCTCCTGGAGATGGATCTTCAGAACTCTTCCAAGCCGTGAGACGCCTATTCAAACCTGTTGTTAGGTCGCATCCTAATTTCATCTCTGGTAATAGTGTGTCAGTTGGATAGTCAAAACTTTGCCATAAATGGGCTTCTGGGTTTGCTTCTTCCTTTTCTCTCACCACGAGATTCCCAGAATCTAAGAGCTCAACAACTGAATTTTGCACTTGTTTAAGCAAAGTTGTGACCCAAACCACATTCTCGTTTTGGGTGAGGACAAGACTGCCTGTGGAGTCTAGCGTTAAGGTGGCAGCGGAGGAATCGTTGATTGGGTTGACTCTGTTTACCACCCAAACTACTGTCTGAATTGGGATGTTGTAGTACCAAATTCCCAGATAGGATTTACCGGAGTTTCCGAGGCTGAAGAAACCAAGTTAAAAGCGTTCATCTTTGGAAACTAACACCATGCCACCACTCATTTGGGAACTGGGCTGAAGGATGGAATTGACCGCCATGGAAGCTTGAAGAGAAGTGACAAGGACATAGGAAAGGACACCCAGGAAAGAGAGGGTATCCATTGGATTCTAGAGATTGTGAACGAGGTATGATTATGAATGATGAAAATGGCTTCTGATTTGCGATGCACTGATGAATAAATACGGCGTGTAATGAATATTGAGCCAATTTCCTACTTACCGGGACACCTACTATAAGTCAACACCCATTGAGGCGATGTCTTTTCTAGCTGGCAGTTTTTGAACGGCCGACCTGCGCTCAAATATTACCTCATGGTCAAAGTCGCCAAAGAGATACTAAAGTTTGCGAAAATTTCTTCACCAGGCAAGCAAAGTCGTGGGAAGAGACATCTCTGAAAGACTTTGTGATTGCTTGACACATCATCCAAATCTTCGAGAAGAATGTGCAAGGGAACGCATATTACTTCCAATAACTCGGCATTGATTTACCACCGCAAAATCCATAAATTTAATGCTAGTCTGCCTATAAGGTCAAACTACAGGTCAACTGCAAAAGATCAGAAATTGTCTTCTTCTTTTTTCCCCATGAAAATGATTTAAAATAAATGATAAAAAATTTAACTCTAAATTTGAACAATATAATGTATTTATACGATTGAAATTTCTATTCTTAGAATATTTCAAAATTCTTTTAAAAGAAAGGAAGAAACAGAGTAAAGCAAGAGAGGCGACGTTTATATCAAATTAGTGAATAGAAGGTCCAGATTCTAGGTTTGGGGGATTTATTATTGGCATACAGGACGATGGCATGCGTTTGTAGAGGCTAATATTTAGAGCTGGTAAAAAAGGCCAGCCCGGCCCTGTAGGGTCGGTCCTTGAAGGGCTTGGGCCTAAAAAGGCCAGCCCTTTTAAGCTCAAATTTATTTTAAGATCTTAATATTCGAAACTCGGCCTTTGACATAGCGGGCTCAGGGCCGGCCTTACGGGCTTTAGACCCTTTTAACTATTTTTATTTTTTAAAATTTTTTAATCAAACAAAAAATTATTTCATTCTAATATAATGCCCAATCAAGAAAGGTACAAAAAAAAAACTAACTAAATAACATCTAAATGAACGAAAAACATAAATAAAATAATAGCAATGCAATAAGTAATGGATCGATTAAGCCGACACACACCCAATCGAAATTAGAAGAGTAAATGTTGAACTGAATGAATTATTATCATGGATCTAGATGAATTAGGGGATTTAAGATTGTATTTTTTTTTTAGAAAATAGCAACCAATGATTTCTGTATGAAATTTATATCAATTAAGAATCAATTATTATCAAAACCTGAATAAAAAATAAGTTATAATGAACTATTGTTAATTTAAAATGAGTTGTTATTAAACTCTAAATGAATACTTATTGATAAAGACTAACTCGAATTCACAAGTATCCATTCAAATTTTGACAACAAGTGATCCTAGACTGATATAATTTTTAATCAGTGATTATTCATTGCTATTTTTCCTTTTTTTTGCCTTCTATCCTCAGTAAATATGGGCTGATATGTGATGTAGAGTAAGATTTAGTATAATTTTTTTTCAAATCTAAAAAGAGTAAAAATTATGAGAATTAATTAAAAAAATATATATGCGGGCTTAAATGGGCTAGCCCTCGGCCCTGTAGGGCTGGCCCGTTTAAGCCCTAAATTAAATAAGCTTAAACAGGCCAGCCCGTTTAAGTCCGATTTATCATTTTGGAGTCTTATTTACAAGCTCGGCCCTACTGTTACACGAGCTTAAATGGGTTAGCTCGACGAGCTCGGCCCGTTTTCCTAGCTCTGCTAATATTATTACTGTCACGACAGCAAGTATATTCTTCTTTAGGCTAGTTGATGCATGGTGCTCCTAGATTTCACCCGCTTTTTTTTCTAAGGGGGCTGAATCCACCACATTGCCATTTCATCAAGGACCGGCCCACGTTGGCTTCTAGGCCTGATTCATTCTTTTCTTTCTAAAACAGTTCCCTTTGGGTTGCTGCTCTTCAAAAAGTGCGAAGATGACATATGATTAAGTGTAGGAATTGTTTATAAAAAAAAGTGTAGGAATTGAAAACTGGATAACACAGAGGTAGGAGTATTTATACTACGTTGTTTTCTACCCTTGTCCATGGTGCTTCGTACCTCTCTGGACTCTGGTGACTTGGAATTGTGTTCCTACAATGATTCCGAGAATGCCTCGATGGCCAGGATTAGAACCGATAATTTGAGTGAGCCGAGTTATTCGAATCGAGTTTAAAGTATCATATTCTCTTATAAAAGTTTATATAGCAAAACTCAACCATAACTTTTTTCGACTAGATTTGAGTTGGCCCATTGGGCTTAACTAAAATTACCAACATTATATATATAAAGCTGGAAATTTCAATAATCAAACTTATTTGAACATGGCTCAATTCGAGTCAGCTTAAAATATTTTATCCTCTTTAAAAAATCATATAGTCAAGCATTGTTTTAATTTTTTCAGACTGACCTATCAAACTTAACAAAAATTACCAACTTTAGCTAGAATTAATTTCCATGAACTGTGTTTAATTTCCCACCCGATAGGTACCATTGAGTGTGATTAAAAAGAATGACACGATCCTCGTGATAATCAAGTTAAGATCCACGGAGAATGCATGAACCTTGTCGTGATCTCATCAATTAACTAATCAAAATTCGCAAATCTCATGGTGCCATTTTTCTCCATTTCTCTCCCACAAATTTAATATTAAATGCCCTCAGTTCATGACGATCTTGTTGTCAGCCGTTACTGTTGTATTACAAGGCATCAACTTCCATACAACACACCCACACGGGCATTTGAAACTTGATCAGACGAGTGGAGCGCAAATAATAATATATAATACTTTATACATACCGAAGCCTCTTGCAACTTTTCTGTGTAATTAAAGAAAAAAATGGTTCATCGGGATTGATAGAGTCCCACCTGAAAGAAACAGAATAAAAGCATGCATGAGATTAAGGAGAGAAGGATGGTTCGTAGGACCCAAATCAAATCCATTAATTTCGGTCTATGATTTTTCCTCCTCCGTTTTTCATGAAATGTGAGAATTGAACTTAATTTTGTTCATGAGGGAAGGAAGATTCGATGCCCTGGTCACGGTTTGAGCCAGCAAGGCCAGGGAGGGTTTGGGGGGGGGGGGGACCTGCGCAGCTAATACGTACGTGGCCCTATACTCTCGCCGGCAACCTGCTCTGCCTGTCATCGCCACTTCGCTGGAGTTCTGGACGGGACCATGCAACTGCCTAATCAATAAGGAGCCAGCAGGTAAACCTAATCCCTCGTCGTTCTTCACTGTTTATCCACGTGTTTCAAATCATGCAACATGACATCAGGGTCCCGCTCTCCTTAACCCCATCATTAACCCTTCATGCTTCTCTCCATCGCGCACTCTCTTCTCCCAAGCCTGTATATGCTCTTTCTTATTGTAAGTATTTTTTAACTTTATTTCTCCCATATTTAACCTGTTTTTACTGGGGAAAAAAAAAATCGAAACGGCACAAAGTTATGTATAACAGTAATCTGAGGCTAATTCCGAGCCCAAATCTAAGCCTGAATGAGCGTGGAATCTTACTCCACGAAGTGCGTTCTAATGTACCATTTCACCCTTCTCTATAGTCAATGTCTATACTCCCTATCCATGACCTGATGACCATGAGTGTATCCGGTTCTCATTTCGGGCGTTGGTGATTTGTCCAAAATGCCCTTCGTTCTTAACGGGGTTAGATTTCATCATCATCATCATCATCATGTTTCACTTTTCTTGCACACACGCGTATATGATTATGCTCTTTAGCGTACTTAACGACCTTTATCACAGGTTACAACCCTTCCTTTAAAACAAAAAATAAAAATACTAGAGCGATGGCTGGTTCTAATTGGACCACACTTTGTACACTAAACTAACATATTTTTGTAGCTGCGTGGCTTTGACTACACTTGATTACAAACATTTCGTATGTATAAATAATCGTTTTTATTACCACTCGTAACGCTTTTGACAATATACATATTGCTTTCACTTGGAGCAAGGGAAAACGCCCTTGAGAACAACTATTATTACTGTCATAAATACGCCCATCATATAACATAATTTCCCTCTATTAACTACCCAAAAAAAAGAAAGTAAAACGGTACATTTTACAAGCGTAAAAACAAACCAACGTAAGATGTAATTGAGGCACATTTTTTGGGTGTACGCGGTACGTAATGTGGGAACAAGCTTCAATTAAAGACCCCTGTGGCCCCACCCGCATCATTGAGTGTCACCAACAATGAGGGTAATTTTGTCAATCCCCACTGGCACCTCCCTTTTCTAATTTGCTCACACTGTCTTTCCCTGTTCGGATTTCCCCTCACACTCTCTCCCCCCCCTTGGCTTCTCCCTCCGGCGCTCCCAAGAGAACTTGGCTTAAATCTCAAATTCCCTTTCTCTCTCTCTTTTTTTAATGGTGGCGGCAACCATGGCTTTCTTTAACACTCTGTTCTTCGCAGTGTTTCTCTTCATTCCTCTTGCCTCTCTCTCCTACTCTTCTTCCTCCTCCTCCATTCACGATCTCCTCCGTTCCAAGGGTTTGCCGGCTGGCCTGCTGCCGGAGGAGGTCAAGTCCTACAACTTATCGGAGGACGGCCTATTAGAGGTCTTTCTCCACGGACCTTGCCTGACGAAATACGAAAACAGAGTCCTCTTCGAAAGCGTGGTGAGAGCTAACCTCACTTATGGCAGCCTAATTGGAGTCGAGGGTCTGTCTCAAGAGGAGCTTTTTCTGTGGCTGCCTGTTAAAGATATCATAGTCGATGATCCCAAGTCAGGTTTGATTCTCTTCGACATTGGGGTCGCTCACAAACAGCTCTCCCTCTCCCTCTTCGAAGATCCACCTCACTGCAAGCCCCAAGGTAACGCCTTTCTTTTTCTTCCATCAAAATCACTTTATTTTTGCCGTCCCACCATTTTAATTGATATTGCCCTCGAAACTGCACATAATTTACCGTACGCGATGTTGGTTCATACTTGATACAGTTTTAATTTGTTCCTGTTGGAGGTTCTAGGTTCCTCAATTTCTTTTCGCAATTTTCTCATTGAGGTGGAGAATCTGACATATATTGTAGCATTATTGTTTTATCCATTGATTCATAATGCTTTCTCTTATTTCGCATGTTTGGGATCTTTATAGGTCTGGTATTTGATAATTCTAGTTGCATCCATGGCTCGTATGTTTAGTACGAATACCTTCTTGTTTGCTTTTAATACGTATTTCCCCTGTATCTGCATCTGAAGCCGCATTGCCACTACCCGAGAAAACAACACTAACATGGTGACAAAAATCGACTCCTCGTTTTGTTTTTAGCGAGAATTCCCCAGGAAAAAAAAAAAAAAATTTGTTATATTTGGGTAAGAAAAGTGAAAGGATCCCTCTGATATAACAATTGTTCTCTACCCATCGGCTATCAGGTCAGTGTTGTGCGAAGAGGTTTCTGCAGCATCACTGTGCTGTCCGGTCAGATGGGCAGTTTCAGAGTTTGTTTGATTATCGGAAAGTTGTTCGTTTCACTTTCACCGTTATTTTTTTTCTCCAGTTTTTGTCACCACTAGCAACTTCATATACATTTTTCAAGTTCCCAGAGAAATAAAAGGTAACGTTTTGTTGCATTGATATTCGGTACTCTGAGGCTAATTATGTGGTTGTGCAGGTGAGCTGAGGAATCATGTGAGGAAGGAGAAAGGATTCGAGGCCTTGAGATAGAAAAGATGCACGCCACCCTGTTTCGAGTAATCGGTTGTTGTCTTTTCTCTGTTTTGTTCATATATATATATAATTTTCACCTTTGCGTTTTCTGTCGTGAGAGAGTGGTGGGGGTGTCATGTGAGAGCAGAGAATGCCGGGAGGCTGTAAAGACGTGGGAGTAAAAAAAAAAAAAAACGGAGGGGGGGTTGGGGAGGGGAACGCTGGAATCTGAAATGTCGTAATCAAATTATAAGATCTGAGTTTCATGCTCGTGTAGGATCTTCACTTGCTATGATATGGTGGAAGATAAGTGGGAAAGCAAAGAATCAATGAAGTATATATGTAAATTAAGTTTTGAGAAAGTAATGACTAAATAAAACCTTGCTTAAGAAGACGGGGAAAATATGCGGGTTGTCTGCTCCTTGGTTTTACCTTGTGAATAATACAGAGATAAATAGTAGTTGTCAGTTGATGTTTGGTTCCTTTCTTTCTGCCATGCGAATAACAGATAGGATTAAGTGAATCAGATCCCTTTCTGAATTATTGTTTCACATGGTAGCGTCGAAAAGATGTCGAGCTTCTAGCATGTAAAGGGCATTTTAAAAAAGAAAGGGAAAATTACATGCAAATATTTACTTATTTACTAATAAGTTCTGTAAAACTAAAAAATTACAGTCAAGTCTTTTAAAACCATATTAGGCTATAAAGACAATAACATCTCTACTAAATATATATCACATTAATTAAATAATTAATTTGTGACTACTTCATTAATAATTTATAATTTTAATTTTTTATAATTGTAATTTCATATAATTATAATTTTAATTTTTTACAATTATAATTTTACATATTTAATAGTTAAATTTATTAATTTAATTATTAAATATATGAAGTTACAGTTGTAAAAAATTATAGTTATAGTTATAAATTATTAATAAAATAATTATAAATTATTTGACTGATATAATACATGTTTATTTTTAATGAAATTATTATTATCTTTTTATTTTAATTTTAAATTATATTTAAGTTTAAAAAAATTTAATTATAATTTTTAAATTTTATGAAATTTATTAATAAATAAGGTAAATAAGTTTGCAAGATTATATGTAACTTTTTCAGGAAAGAAAAAAAAAAAAGCCACACCTGGCATCCTTGTATGTCAAAAGCAAAGAATTCCGCGTGACGGTGTACGATGTTTAAAACTTTATTTATTACTGAGCGTGACAGGGATGCTGAGGATTGATCTGAACTGGTGGGAACATATTTGGAGGTGGGACATGGGGAAATGAGAGCTGGACTAATGGGTGCTAGGGGACCTTTTGTGTTCGCGCGTGAAACGGGGGGTCACGAGTCTCGGTTTAGGCTTTCACAGCGATGAAATATGGGCCATTTAAATTGATCTTAATGGTCTGGATTTAAATTTTTTAATTAATATTTTTTTGATAAAGTTTGTATATATTAATATTGGATAAAAAAAAGTTATTAAAAAATAAAAATAAAATCACGCTGAGCACTGTGAGCAGTGGAGGTGGTCCCTGAGGAAAGTGAGTCACGGGTTGATTAGAGTAGAAGCGAGCTCCAGAATTGGCTTCACTTCACCCTCTCTTGCATTCTCGTGCCCCGACATTAACGAACTCTCACTCCCTCTTTCACTATCCATTCTTCTTGATGCGCTGTTTGTTCGGTTACTTGACTTCTTTTTACTTAAAGCGCATCACATAGGTCGTGTTTGATTGACTGTTGCAGGAGAAATGAATTAAAAGAAAAATAACAAAGGTGTAATTGAGAAATTATAAATAGAAATTATAAGGAGGAGAGAAGAGAAAACCAGAAAACTATAACTAGAGAATAAGAGGACGAGATAACTGAGACATTTCTCATTTCAATGTGAGAAACACAATTAATGTGTCTTGTATTTATAAGTATAAATATATCAATTAAATTAAATAAAATATATAAGATAATAATAATTATTCCCTCCGTTAAAAATGTGAAGCATTTTTAATTAAATCTCATTTTATAATAAAATAATTATTTATTTTTAAATTAATATTATATTTTTATATTTATCTTATTTAATAGAGTATTTTACTCTAAAATAAATATAAAATAGTTTGTTTATTTATTAGCGACACTTTAAAAAAAAGATAATGGTTATATTTTGAAGTACTAAAAATGCTAGACATTTTTAAATATCTAACTTTTTAATAAATGCTTTACATTTTTAAATTGAGAGAGTAAAAGATATTATGGCAACCAAAAAGATACTGATGAGTCTAAAGATATGAACATCCACAAAATCCTCTAATATTTATAATATTTTTTCTTGGATGTCTATATATTATACCTCATTAAAATCTTGCTAGAAAAAACTTAATTGGACAACAAACTTAGTGAAGAAAAAAAGTACACAATGTATTCATATTTATTAAAGTTACTTCATTAAAAACTTTACTAAAAAAATTCAATAGGACAAAATTTTGGTTGAGAAAAAAAAATGCAGTGTAATTTTTACTCCCACTAATGACAATATCATTTCTAGTTCTTGAATTTTCTTAAGTCATGATACCCTCAACGTGTGTCAATTTCTTGAATGTGTCAATCATGCCTTTACAGGTTGATATTCTCTTCCAGTTGAACTATATATGAACCAGTGCTTCCACATAATATTTTGAAACATTTCCTCTATACATATCTTTTGAATATAAATACATCTACCATTTGTCATATATTTTGTTAGAGTAGCAAAACAATTTTGATATACATGTATTTTCATAAATAAATAAACTTCTTAAAGGTCAACTCATGCAGTTCCAACTAGACATATATAACACATGCACAATCAATTAACTATGATCTTAAATAAGTTTAGTAAAGCGACTAGAGATAATTTCTCATATACATCATATCAAATACATAATTTCATTGCAAATCAATGCAATACAATAAATAATTGTGATATGAAAGAATTCACAAATGGTATTTCAAGACTATATTTTATTATTCTCTTGAAAAAAATAATTGTGATATAAACCATGGACTCTCTCTCTCTCTCTCTCTCTATATATATATATATATATAAATATAAAATAAGTAGAATAACCACATGCAATTGTATATGACGTTGGCAATCTCAAATAGAAAATTGAGATATGATTATAACAAATAAAGTAAACAAATTAAGATTTTGATAGTTATGATTCTCAATTATAAAATAATCTAAATAAAATAATAAATTATTTTAAATGTAGGTAATTTCAGGACCTACTTTATATCTTATATGAATAGCTTCAAGGTCCACAAAAATAAATTACTTTAATCTTGTATAACATTATGATCTACTTTGCATTATATGCAGGTAATCTTTACGATGCACTTTATATTTTAAATGGATAACTTCACAACATATTTTATGTTATGTGTGGATAATTTTATAATTCATTTTTCTAAAAATTATATATGTAATGTAGATAGCTAAACAATATATATATATATATATATAAATAAAATAAAAATAAGGAATTGAATGTAGGATAAACAAACAAACAAATAATTGAATGTAGATATCTTTAAGATTTATATTATATTATGTGGATATGACTTTCAAGATCTACTTTAAATTGTGTGAATGTTTTCAAGATTCACTTTATATTTTATATAGATAACTTCATGATTCATAACAATAGGTGTTTTGGCTATAAATAATTGTAGCATTTACTTTGTATTATATGTGATAATCTTTATAATTCGCCTTATATTGTATGGGAGCAACTTCAAGATTTACCCTCTATTTCTATGTGAGTAAATTTAACATTTACTCTACATTAAATGTGAATAATTTCAGGATTACTTTATGTTATGTACCGATAACTTCAAAATTTACTATTTTAAATTATATTGTGTCTCATACTTTTAGATGTGACGCATAATGTGTAATTATTAGATTAATTGAGGGAGGGAGAAAATAATTAAACAAAAAAATTTAATAAATAAATAACATATAAATGACAAGAGTGCATTGATGATAGAGTAGCGTGCTTCCTTCTCTACTGGAGATGTTCATTGGTACAATCATTAATCTTTAATATAATAATAATAAGGGCACCCACTTAATGATGTCAAAAGTAGAGCAATTGTGCTAATAATGTGAGGAGGAGATAAGAGAGAAAATTATAATAAAAGAATAAAATGATAAGAGAATTGAGAGCTTTCTCATTTTAGTGTGTAAAATAAAATTAAAATATTTTTTATCTTTGAACACAAATATATCGATAAACTTAAATAAAATATACAATATAATAATATTTGTAATAAAAAAGGCACTGGAGAATTGAAATAAACCAACATCCACAAAATTTTCTAATATTCATAACAGATGTGCGTGTAGGTATAATTTTATTACTACTGGAAGTCGAAAGGAACAAACGGCCTTCAATTTTAACTAATGAAGACATAGTAATTGAATTGAATAGTGAAATTGGATGACAGGTGTAGAAGGAATGAAATGCAAACTTTTGTGAAACATGTTGAGGAGTGAGAAGGAAGAGAAAGCGGGACTTGGGGGGAGCCAAGTGCAGTGAGAGGAAATTACCTTGTTTGGACTGCTCCTCAGTAACAGTGAAAGACGCAGCTTACATCAGAGGCGCCTCCACAGGCTCCACTCCACGCCATCGCCACCCATGCTCACTTATTCCCACTTCACACACGCACACGCACACACTCTTTTCTATAAACTAAAACGCATCAGTCCCACGTCCATTCAATCATCATCCATGTACACACTCCGTGGCCTTGCTTCGCATCTAAGTAAGCCCGAAATTGAAAGATCAAGCCCAAATCCAAAGTTCCCTCAATTCCCTCTTTTTTATGGAAATAAATCACAAGCCGAGTTCATATGATACTAAACGTAACAATTAATTTATTTCTAAATATTTTATACGCTTCTCCTAAATGTTTTCTTATTTTATAATTTTTTATTATAAGAAAACATTATTTCCGTCCATCCACGTAGTGCCCGTTTGGATAAGGAGAAAACGCGCGTTTTGAACCCAAAATCAATTTTTTCTGTCAATCTATCCAAACAGTCGAAAATGATCAAAAATCGATTATGGGCCAAAACGCGCGTTTTTCCGAAGCTCCCTTCGTCTGCTGCCAAAAGTTTGTCAAAAATGTTGGGGAAAATTACAAAAACAGGCCCAGAAAAAAATTATAAAAAAAATACATAATTTAATAAAAATAAAATTAAACTCTCTTCTTTTTCTTTTTTTTCCTTAATAAAATTTAAATTTTATATATTTAAAAAATTAATATTTGATATTTAAAAATTAAATTATATAGTTAAAAATTAATTTTGATTAAATTATCTAAATATCTTTAATTTTGTTAAAATTAATTTAAAAAAACAGTATCAAACAGATTACGTTATAACATAATCAATTATAATTAAAATCTATCACTTAATTAATTATTTTTAATCTATCATATCTAACTGAAATTCAAAAACCCGTACCCAACTGGACTTGACGAAATTTACTCCAACAGGTATTGCATTCGAGAGCCGCGACCCACCCCTCACGCTACGCTTCCAAGATAAAAACCAGATCATATATTCTCTACACTTCTTCAATCCCGCTGGGCCCGAGATTCTTGGACGTTAACAGAGTCAAAGACTGATCATGGGAGGCGGAGGAGTTTTGAGGACCGCGGCGAAGGTGGCCGGCGTCGGCGTGGCTTCCGCCGGCCGAAGGGGTGTGCCCGTTGCACAGCCTGCGGAGCAGTCGATTCGGAAAGCCTCGAGACCCGTGTCGGCCGTCTTGTCTTCGGAGGGAGCGAAATCTGGTGAGGTTGCGCCGCTGCACACGGCGGCGTCCTGGGACTCGGACGAATGGGATTTCGCCCATGATGATGGGCTTGTCATGGAGGCCGGCGAGCCTACGCCCAGGGTGGTGTTTGGCGAGGTCCCCAGCTTTCAGGAGGCCAAGGCTGCTACCTCGGAATTGAAAAACGCCATTGATGAGTATAGTCTTTCCCTCTAATCTCTCAATATTTGGATTTTTGATCTCAAATTCGTTCTTGACAAGTCCATCGGCAGTTTAAAATTCGTCCATTCCAAATTATTAAATGCGGGTGATTGTAGATGTTGTTAATTTTCATGCGGAAATGGCAAACTCTTCGTTTTTTCGTGCCTATATATTGTTTCTGGCCCCCGTTTTCCCCCACTACAGATTGCATCTTGGCCTTCCCAATAAATCTGAGTAGTTTGTTCTGGTAATGATATAAGTTGGGACCAATTGATCTGTCATATCCATGCAAGATTTTTCCTTATCATGAACTTTCGCCCTATGATGCTACAAAAATTAGATTTGTGAATAAAATTAGTTGAAACTTTCTGCATGTCAAAACTAACGAGATTTATTTAGAAACTTTCTGCACATTTCTGGTGGAAGATCATGTGTTCCTGTGCAACATGGATATGATTTATCTTCTATCTGAGGCCGTTTCTCTCCATGCTAATTGCTAAAACCATTTCTTATTTACCATTTGTCAGGGTATACCTGTCTTCTAATACTTCTGTGTGCGAGGGTTCTACTGGTAGTGAAGTGTCTGTTCAGTCCCCTCTTCTTTGTGGGACGGAGATCAAATCTTGCGTGATGGAGGCTATTTCAACCCCCTCAGCGCCGAAGCATGCCCTTGACGCCTTCAAATTTCTGAGCACAAATTCTGAGGCCCAGGTAATTTATTGGTTTTCTTGTCCGTTGAATATCAACTTTCATCGCCATTCAAGCAATCTATGTCTAATACCTTCATATCTAAGATGCCAGGTGTCATACAGAATAACCGAATTATAGGATGCTATTATTAACTTTGATACAAGTTATAACTCTACCCTTGTATGTAAGACCAAATTTTGAAATATAAGCATATGTTTAATACGAAGGTTCTTTGATGGCCAAATAAAAATTATTACCGTACTTCATAGACCATGCTATGCTATTTCATATCATAGATTGTAAAATAGCATGGAAAGTGAGATAGTAATGAATGAAACACCTCTTAAATTATGGTCAAGTCCTGCTATTCACTTATCATTGTCATAACCAGACCATTGTAGCGTCCGTTGCTTCTGATCCGAACGTGTGGAATGCAATCATGAAAAATCCTTCGCTGAAGGACTTCCTCCAATCTCAACAAACAGGTTCTATTTCATGTCGCATATTAATTCCACTTCTAAGGCATTGCATTATGGATTTCATGCTGATTCAAAATGTTCTGCAGCTGCAGGGGTTGAATCAGAGGAAACTCCTGAAAGTTTGGTGAAGTTACACCACTCCGACCGAAAGGGCAATCAAGGAAATGGGTTTGTGGATTTCATGGAGCTAATGCAGAATTTTAAGTTGACAGTGACAGAAATGGTCAGCAATGTGTCGAAATACCTTAACAACGTATTTGGGTTATCAGAAGCAGAGAAAACGTCGTCTGATGCTAATGGAAACACCAGAGCAAACTACATGGATTCTTTTGCTATGGGAGGTACTCTTATGGGGTTGGCAGTACTGGTGATTATGGTGGTTCTGCTCAAGCGGGCTTAAACTCTTGGAACTATCCTTAATTAGCTGAGCCTTCTAATAAACTGACACACTCTAATAGTAGACTAATGAATGTGCAGCCTGTGTATCCTTATCGTTTAAGTTTTGATGATATCAAGTTCTCCAACAAGCTCATGTGGATATTATTCCCGTCGGTTTAGACTTGGTTATAGTTATGTAAGATGTTGCAGTTAAATACAAAAAAAATTCAAGTGTCAGAAACTAAGGGTGTGTTTGGTTGGAGGTTTAGGAGAGAAGGAGAGGGAAGTGAAAGGGAGGAGAGCTAAAATTCCCCCTTACTTCCTCTCCCCTCATATTGCTTTAGTCCAATTTGGGGTTTTTTGGGAGGGGAGCCAAAATTTATAAGTAATTTGCCCTTCTCTTTGCATCCATCTGAGTCTTCTTCCTGAGTACCCAAGCTAGTTGCGTCTCACCATCTGCATCAGCAGTGTGCCCTCTTCTACCACATTCTCTGCATATAACTTTGTATCTGTTTCCTGTGCACTGTACAGTCTTCACTTCGGTCACCTTCGACTTTCCTGTACCCTCTTCCTCTGTATTTGTGAGAGCCTTCCACTTCGGGACTGAGTCACCCAAGCTAGCAGCGTCGTGGTCGTGGTGTTCTTCGTATATGGCTTCGTAATTGTTTCCCTGTACAGACATCGACCTTGCTTTTCTAATGGAGCCTCTGCAATTCACTTTCCACACACAGGTGTACAGCCGGAGGTCATGACTTTCCTCAATTCCTGTACTCGACGGTGAAGGGGAGGGCCCTTGACATGCGTGGCGATTATTAGAATAATTCTCAATTTAATTTTAAGAAATATCAAAATTAAATTGAGAATTAACAAATAAAATAATTCAATTATAAAATAAAGAAAAAACTGTAGAATTGACGTGTTTATTCATAGCAGTTTAAAATGTAAAATTATACTCTCTTCGTTTAAAAATATAAAGTATTTTTTAAAGAATTGAATGTTTAAAAATATAAGGTATTTTTAATCTTTTATAATGTAATTATTATTTTTTTTTTCAAAAGTATTTTTATTGATAATGACTTTATATTTATTGTAGGGTGTTTAATAAGGGTAAATATAAAAAAATAGAGTTAGTTGAAAAATAAATAATTACTTTATTAAAAAGTAAAAGTATAAACCAAGCAAATTGAGTTAAGGTATAAAATTAATTTACACAAGACATAATTAAAGAATATTGAACCCATATATAAGAAAATAATGGTAAATTGCTTAAAACTACCTTTCTTCTTTCTTCTTAAACTAAATAAGAAATCATTAAAATTCCATCCTCTTCTTTTCCCTATCTTGTTATAAAACTAAATAAAGTAACATTCTTTTTCTCCCATTCTCTTGAACTTAACATAGCCTAAAGATGATTTGATCTTCATTTTTTTTTTTTGGGGGGGGATGGGGGGATTGCTAGTAAATCCCTCTTTAGGCCCAAAATTGTTCTAGAAGACCAAAAAATCAAGATGCAAGCATATGAACTTAAGATGGATAGGCTTGGAATTTCATGACTATTTGTTTGCATCCGAAATCTGTCTTCCTTGCACTTGGTCCTTTGATCGTTTCAGTACCAAGGAAGGACTCGCAAGCAATTTTTCTAAAAGAAGTCCCCCTTCTTGGGATCAAAATTGTGCTCGGCCAAATGACTACGAATGACTATGATACAAACAGATAAGCTTAGAGTATAAACAGATAAGTTTATAATTTCATAAATACAATGGAAACATGTTTAGTATTCTTCATATCACATGTAACAGATTACACCGCCGCAGATTCATCATTCATTTAGTATTCTTCAATATCACTGTAAATTGTAGCTAAAGGAAAAATCTACTCTGTAGATTCATGAAAGTTCGTTATCCTGAAGAGGATACAAATAAATACCGGAGCAAAAAATACTTCTCAGCAAGTTATTGCGATCGTACAGGTACAAAATCCATCGTGTATGATGCAACGCTAAATTTCGTGAGCAGCAGTTCTTTTTCCCTTTTACTGCAACACGCCTTGTTTCATCATCAATTTGGAAAATCCAGTCACGGGCTGATTTATTCATGTTAATCACTGCTAATATACATGATGTCTTCCTTTGATATATGCATCAAACCCCTGTCTCTTCTGCTACTTGCTTGCGTTCGGTCTGGTTGGCCTCGCTGGATCATCACGGTGGGTAAAAAAACTCGTGTGAACAAGCTTTAAGCAGAATTTCTACAACTAGGTGATGATTGTGTTGGTACTTAAACTAATTGAAAGATGGCACTTACCTTCCTCAACACAAACGCTAAGTACAAGTAAGCTACTTCCCATTCATCTGGTGAGAGTGTGCCTGCAAATAAAAGAGGAGTATGGCCCGTGTTTTAAGCAGCAGCACGTTAACAAAGAGAAGCAATGAGAAGGGATGTTAAGCTTCAATGAGTGATCATGGGACTAAGAAAGGTAAATGCATGGGCAAGAAGACTTACTCTGATCTTGGTTGCCATCGCCCAAGGCGCCAAGTCTTCGCATGAGCTCTATAAATTCTGGTTTTTTCATGTACTCGTGCACGAACTCATGGGAGTTCTTTGCAAAGACAAGCTCAAAATCATACTGTAAAGTGTGATGGAGAATGTTACCAAGAAAGCACAAGCAAGTGATACCTCTTCTGTTTAATTGACTGTTTTGAAAGATGTGATACCTCTTCTGCCAACGTCTTGAATACGTGAAAGGGGACAATCCATTCAGGACAATCAACAGCATCCTGCAACAGAAGTATAAATAGTATTCCTGAGTCACGTCTATGATCTAACAAATGGTCTGATATGACAATATTAATAAGCTTTTTTTCACGGAAACAACTACTGGAGTACAAGGGGAAGTTTTAACTTTTATTAGAAACAATACCTCTAGATGGAACTTGTAACTTATGCCAAAGGGGCTGGAAGATTTAAATTTCTGAATAACAAGAAGAATATCAGGCTAAGATACTGTTCAATAAATTGCATAAAATTCATTACTAAAATAATAAATTTCCACCCAAGAAACATAATTAGGAAGATGTAACATGAGAACAAAAGTCACCTTGTCAGAAAATTCTTCATCAAAATGCACCCAGTAGACACTATTTCCAAAAGACAACCCTTCAGCTGCATATTTCAAAAAATTGAAAACGGCATATCCAATCAAGTTCGAGAATTGCAAAATTGATGACATTTATGCTAATATATACCAGAAGGACCAAATGTCATCATTCTGTTCAACGAGTACAATGAGCAGTCATCTCTAAAGGGAACAAGAACAGTTCATGACAATTTGATTGAACCGTGATACGGCCCTTCACACACAGTGATTACTGAAGGAAGGATCTAGAAAGTAATGAATGGGGGGGCCAAAATCTATTTTTAAAATTTTTACAAGCAAGCTTTATAATTTTTACCAAAGGAACATCCAAGTGTTGGGGTTTGGGGGGGGGGGGGGGAGCACCCCTCCCTGCCGCCCCTGGATCCCTCTCTGATGTTGTCTGAAGCCTAAATCAATGCAATGCATACTACTTGAGGAGTCACTTTAGAATGAGAGATCATGGAGGGACAACAAAAGCTCTATTAGTAATATAGATTGCTTCTTCTCACTTAGATAGCAACGGCATGCTAAAGTTGCATCAGACTTGTCATACTTGAACATGTGGTTTAGCTAATCAAAATTCGTCTTTTAGTATAACCTAGAGATATATTGCAAACAGAGATTAGATCTTTGCATATGCTCACGTCTTTTTGAAGGACACAATTGTACTAAATCAAAAGATATTGCAAAAGCACTATCAGTAATATAGATTGCTTCCTCTCATTTAGATAGCAGCGGCCATGCCATAGTTTCATCAGATTTGTCATACTTGAATATGTGGCTTAACTAATCAAAATTCGTCTTTTAGTAACCTAGAGATATATTGCAAACAGAGATCAGATCCTTGCATATGCTCATGTCTTAAGTTTGAAGGACACAATTGTACTAAATCACAAGATATCACATTGTCATTTTCTTAAAAGTTGTAAACATTGCAGGTGCATCCAAAACCTTCTCTTAGCTTTTTTATAAGAACATTAGCATCAGGCATTGTTCCAATAAAAATGCCTCCCGGACGAAGTAATGCTGACACATTAGCCAAGGCTCGCCGAGCACGAGCTTCTGTAGACCAAGAGTAATGCAACGCAAACTGCAGAGTTCAAAGGTTTGACAGGTTAGAAATGAAGATACACTTTCAAAATTGAAAGTAGTCCGCAACCATAAATGTAATTTTCAAGACATGGGATAAAAGAGCAACAACAGTTGGCAGGGAAAATGGGAGTTGTCAAGAATATACGGTAGAAATATCAGATGATGTGCCATTGGGCTTTATCAAAAACTAATTGTTCAGATAAAATGAAAAATAGTAAAGTTAGACACCAAAAGAACCAACACATTGACCATTGAGTGTATTTAAAGAAAAGCACCATTGTTTTTAACAATACATGAACCAACAGTTTATCCTAAACTAAAATGATTGCTGGGCAAGGCCAATTCTAAATATAAAGGAAATTGAACTTTGTTGTACTAATACAAGCCAGTTCCTCTCTTTTTTAGCGTGATTCAAAGATGACTTGTAGTAATTAACTTGAGTGATTAATTCACCTGACAACTGCAAATATCAAAGGGCGCATCTTCTGCAAGAACCTTATCCAAGCGAACCTGGAATGATCAACAATTGTTAAGAATAAGAGAAAACAATTGCATTATCTAAACAAATAGAGAAATTGCTAACAAAAGAAGAGGAAAAAAGTTTTCATAGACGATGGTGCATTTTGGGTTAAGTTGTTATACGCACATCAATGACCCCTATATTTTATCAAACTATTCAACTACAGACTACGCCTTGTAGAGCACACAAGGAATTTACGAATCAATTTATAAAAATACTACTACTACTAAAGTAGCTGCTGTGGCTGCAATCATACTTTCACATGGCAACCTCTACTATCTTGTCTTTCTGGCTAAACCAACTACCTTTTTTCAAAAACAGTGCACTCAGTCTTTCCTGGTTTCTAGTGTATCCTCTCATCCATTCAGGATCAACTTTTTGCTTCCCCCTGCAAATTTCCTTTCTTGATATTTTAGAAAAAATAGTCACATTATAAATTTTAATATATTCTACATTCTCAATTTTCTAGCTAAAACAGTGCTGAGTCTGTTCATTTCATAAAATTGAAGGTAAAACTCTTAATCTTTCAAATGTGATAAAGTTATCAAGCAAAAAGAGAACAGAAAGTATTTTCATGAGATTGGCAATGCACGTTTAGCCACCTCATAGCAATCTCCACAGAACAGGCGAGCAGGAAACGTGAACTTTTTACGTCGCTGATGATGGTCAGCATCACCATTGTATCGTGTACGACAATCTTCAATCTGGAAGATTGTTGAAATCAGTGAGCTGGTGTTGAGGATGACAAACATATGACTATTGCAAATATTTTGACACAATAAGGCATGGAATCTTTCACCATCTAATAGCAAGGACTTGAGGTATAACATATAAGAAATTCATCACTGGAATGAGGGAAAATACAAAGTTACAATAAAAAATTTACTGTCATCATGTATATGTTCAAGAATTATTTGAAATAAAAATTATTATAGCTTAAAGTGTACAAGGAATAAACGAGTAATTCATTCTTGGGGAACACTAGCTTCAAGGTCATCTCCTAAGCACAAAAGAGTCAAAAACATAATTATGTAATTTTTTATAAATGGGGAAAAAGTTAAGCTGCAAGAGATAGACAAATGCGTTTTATGCATGAAATTAGCCATGACAGAGGTACATGGCATAGAAATAGAAGAAGTCTGAAGATGGCATGAATAATTTCTTCAAACCCTTGTCATCCTACTTCAGCTCATCACAACTTGATTTGATGAGTATATTGCTCAAATTTCAGAATTCAGATAAGACTAACAAGTTGACAGTTCCACTAAATTGTAATACTTACTGAACCTTCAGCAATGTCAATACCGACATAATATCCAATTTTGGCCTTGTCCCATTTAATAAGATCTCCACCCTATGGAAACGGAAGAATTACGTGAAGAGGCTTAGATAAGGAAGGATATTAGCTTTTTCGAATATTGCACATGGATTATAACCCATTAGCACCTTGCCACAGGCGAGGTCAAGGACTGCATCTCCTCGACGTGCATAAAGCTGAATTAAGACACTCTTAATCTGTTCAGAAAAAAGCATAAACACAGCAAGCAATCAACCAACAATAATGTAATATTCTGCCGATAAGAATTTATGCGTTGCAAAATATAACACATACCCAATTGTTGAGTTTCTTTAAATGAATAATTGGACTAGCCTCCCGCTCTTCCAGGGTCTGGTTGGTCCTTGCACTGTAATGTTCAGCAACTTTCCGAGCAAATATCTTAGTGCTTTCATCCTCCAGAAAATGCGAATCACCTAAACACAATCCACAAAATGCAAATAAGGACAATAACCAGAACCTTATGAGTTTTCTACAAGAAAAGCGACGGATAAGGACCAGAAAATACATAAATTCGCAAGTGGTATTTTTCATGATATAACGGGGAAGTATAAAGCCTATACTTTTTTTCGAACCCTTGCCACAATTGATTAATGAAGTTAAGGCAAGCTCTTTAGTCGGCATAACCTCGCGTTTACAAAGTTAAGGTCTCTCAACTGCATTCTTTTTTTTTTTTTTTAAAAAAAAGATCAGCATGGCAGAGACAGCATTCATTGCAAATGCTAAAGATTTCCCTCTCTTTTCCAGCAGAATCCTGGCTCTTCGGTCGTTTATCAGAACACCCAGATCCATGAAACACCAAATAACCCTTTATAATTGTAAACAACTATACGACAAAACAAATCGAAGAAAGGGCAGCAGCATAAAGTTACCTTCCGGGTTATATCTAGTTTTGGATTGAGGTGGGCCGAAAGAGGTTGAAGGGGATTCCTGGTATCCTCGTTTCATGAGGAACAATCCGAATGACAGTACTACTCTACCTCGATGCTTCAAGAACGTTAAATTTTTGGGTCTTACCAAAGACAAGCCGGCCGTTATAGTAATTTGACGTCGAGTTCGATTAGGCAGGAATAATGAAAACTCAAGTTGAATAAAGCGCGGAGGGGAACATGGATTGCTGTCTCCCTGAGATTTTATACTTGCTATGTAGCTGGACGCGGTGAGGGCATCAAGCAACGCGTGATTGGTGGAGACTAGCGGAGATTGATGGTCTGCGTAACATCTGAAAGAAGCATCTTTCCCCAAAAGAATCAAGAGAACAACTTTGAGATTGTAGATGTGCTTGTATCAGCTTTTGTTGCTCAATGAACCCACGAGCAACAAACCCCAACAATAGCAGAACGCCACAACCAGAAACACCAGCCTCCGATGATCTTCCAAAAAACTTCGCTCAAACCACAGAGAGAATCCCTTGATAGGGTAAAACGACACTAATAATACTCTGTTTTTATTTTTTGACCGATAAATTAAATTCTTCCGTGTTTGTTTTCGCAAGACAAAAACGACTAGACGAGTTGTTATATATTAATCCCACGGAAATTGGATTTACGAGGTGAAATTTTAATATTATCCTTATTCAAAAGAAAACGAAAAATATAAGTTAATAATTCAAAACATGTACAAAAATTTGAAGCTCAACCCACCCCAAACGTCTCTCAATCCAAGGAAAAACTAGAGAGATAACATAAAGTTAAGAATGACTATTTTAATAACTAAGATCATCTCAAATTTTACACCACTGTTCAAATATTCCATTATGTTTTTTAGCGTTGGGTGATTGGAATTCCAAAATGAAACTGAGCAACAAAAATGTGGGTTCCTTTTTAGTCTTGTGTCCGATTTTGCCAAACAAAAGCCTCCATGACAATCTCTTTCTTCGCCCTTTTCTTTGGTTACATCTTCTATGGAGTATGGACCAAGCAATTCTAGTCTCAATCACACATTTGCTTTGTCGTAATTTTATGTTGAGGGAGGGCAAGGGAAGGGGACGAAGCAGACAAAGAGAAGTTGTCATCATTTTTAACTTGTTCGTGGATATTTCATTCCCTTGTTGCTTTCTTTTCATTAATTTTTGAAGCACTTTACAATTGCTTTGTGCGTGACTGCGCGCACTGTATTTCAGACCAAAAAACAAAGCCAAATCAAATGTCGCCACTCATATCTGTTTTTAAACTTAATCTGAGCATGGTTTTGAACCATTGTGCAGAAGCTTTCGGTATCCTCGTGAGGTTATTCTTAAAATCAACATAGTAGAGCCCAAACCGAACGGTATAGCCCATATTCCACTCCCAGTTGTCAAGCAATGACCACACAAAGTAACCGCGAACATCGCATTCGTCTTCCCTGCATTAGATAGACATTGTTTTAATCCTGTTCTTGTATAATTTAATATCCATGTTATGCAGAGACTCAAAGTGCAGAATTTGTTAAAGGATCTGTCTCTTAAGTACCTTACAGCAGCAGATAGGTTTGAGAGATAGTCCCTATGAAATGTTATCCTCTTATCATCCTGCAAAGTCTTTTCTAAGGTTATGAAAGGTCCATTTGGGTCATCCATTCCTGCCATGATAAATCTAAACAATGTCAACACTTCTGTGAATTCTTTGATAAGCTTATAAGCAGGAAGCTCCTCCCTCACCATTTTCTGTTATAATCATTGGGGGATTCCCATACTTGTTTTTCACATAATTCACCATTTTTCGGATTCCCCATGGGACAATGTGAAGCCAGCGTGAAGCTGCCTGAAGAAGAAAAAAGACTTGCTTTAGAATACAGTCTATACACAAGGTTTAAGCTTTAACGAGTTGCTTAATCATACCCTTTCTCCGATTACAGCCCCTTTTCTGTGTGCTACAAAGTAGGACAACAGATGAGATGAGACCAAGAAGAAGAAGACGGAAGAAACGAGAAAGGGGTCACAATTTATTTGAAGGCTTACGGGTAGTGATGACAGCAGCATCAGACGATGCGTCCTGTAAAACCAGTTTTCGAATCCTAGTTCTGTCGTTACGGGCATAAATTGAGGTGTAATGATTTATGCCCACAAAATCCAAGGATCCCACAAGCATGGTGGAGGTTGCATCTGAGATCTCCGGCAATCTTTCAGCTACAAGTCGTTCCATTGAAAGAGGATATTTCCCAAAAAATAGAGGTTCAAGGAACCTATTATGGAAGATGAACTGCTCAGTTTTTCGTAAATGTCATGGGGCTTTGTGCATAGTACATTATCGTATTCGCTAAATAGAATTACCATCCAACTGAAAAATCCATAGCTCTGGCTGCCGCATCTTTGTCCTCATCAAGATCAGTTATGGGTTCATACCATATGGCATCTAGAGCTATCCCTATTTGACCCCTTTGTTTTTCCTGGATCATAACATCAATACCAGAATTAAACTCCCGATTGTAATATTTTGTCCCCAAGAGACATGCATGCCATTCGTTAGTTCTTGGAGTATGTAAATCTGCGCTATTATTTTCACGAATAAAGAACTTATGAGTCGTAGAAGTTAGAGTCAATGATTGAATAATTGAACTGTGCACGTTTCAGGAATTGAAGATGACTTGTTTAGAACCTTGAAATGTTGTTGATAGGTGCGATAAGCAGCAGCATGAGATAAGAGAATGTTGTGAGCAACAATATATGGTTCCGTGGATGATTTTCCCTTCCTACATAAAAAATGACCCAGAATGGAACATCTTCCAGGGGCTTGAATTCCCAAGTCATAACCATGGAGGGCGAAGTTATGTGGTTCATTGAACGTGATCCAGTACTTCACTCTATCTCCGAAAGTTTTGAAGCAGGTATAGGCATAGTGTTCGAAGTCTTTTCTGCAAATGAATATTTACAAAGCTCACTACTTTTATCTCACAAGATAACATGTCATTGTTTTTAACTTACATTACTTGTGTGCTTAGCCATCCTTCATATTGATCTTCTAGCATCTGTGGAAGATCCCAATGATATAGGGTTACAAAAGGCTGGATTCCTGATTGAAGAGAAGAACTAAAATTTTAATGCTATTTTGTGCCGTTTGTAAAAGAAAGATTCCTATAGAAATTCTTCGTAACCTTTTTCCAGCAAAGCATCTATGAGACTGTCGTAATACTTTATTCCTTCCGCACAAGGTCCCCCCGTTCCTTCTGTTCACAATTATTACAGAGATAGTTAGCCGCTAACATAATTCCTGCTGCTCTTATTTATTTATTTATTTGGGGGGGGGGGGGGGAGATTTTGAAAACGTTTACAACTTACTTGGAAAAATTCTTGACCATGATATGGAAAATCTGTAAAAATCCATCCCCATGTCTTTCATCAATTCTATATCATTCTGCGTAAAGTGGAAAATTATTAACGTTTCAGTTGACCGTTAAATATTTTAAACACAAAAATCAAGTAGAATTTTTTTTGGGGGGGGGGGGACTTCAGCAATGTCACATCAGCATATAAGTTTAAAAACTCTTTTCACCTTGAGAAACTTCATGGCATTTGTTTGCTTTACAATCTGATTGTCTATTGCTTAAAGTGGGTGATGTGTCGGCGTCATCATCTCAATATTCTCTCATATTTTATAATGGTGTGTCATCTCATCCTAAAATTGTTTATACTTTCTTTTCCCATTCATATGAACATGCTCTCCTTGAATATAAGCCACTTGAAGTTTAATTGAGACAGAAAGAAAAGTTGAGCAAGCAATCTAACTTGTGCAAAATTAAAGTCCCAAAGTATCTTCCTTGTTACCTTAAATCTGTGATATTGGTCCACAGTCATGTCTGCATTGCTGAAGTCCAAGATTCTCCCTATCAGAACGCAAAAATGGAAATCAGAAACTTCTCTGGAAGAGATAAATATTCATCGTATGTCTTAATTTTGATGATAGGGTCTGGTTTGCCTTTTGAACTTTGGTCTTACCTGGAAGCCTGGTGAAAGTATCCCATATGCTATCTCCTCTATTTCCTTCACCAACAGCTCCTTCAAACTATGCAGCACAGCATTTCCAAGTGATGAGATTTGGCGTATAATTTGTCTGATACTGTCTCATTATTTGGATTGAACATTGCAAGGAAAAGATTGATTCTTACCTGGTAAGCTGAAGAAGCAGTTCCAAAGATAAACCCATCTGGAAAATCTCCTCTGCTAATTGATTCTGTCCTCACAAAGAACTGAATTATGAGAGCAAAAGCAATACAAATCCTCATGGTGGTTGAGGTTGATAGTCTATATTACTCGCTACTTCTCTGTGGTTTCAGGCTGTACAGCTTGGATTATATACACCGGAAACATGCTAGTTAACTTTGTTGTGAAGGTTAAGGCTGAAGAAGAAATAGACAAAAGCCGAAGCAACCATGATCTTACTAAGAAACTGACAATTGATGCGGGCTAAGCCCATATTTGTTCATGCTGGAATTTGTAGCGCCATCAGAAACAGATGAAACGACGTAGGGGCAGAGGAAAACAGAGGATCGTGGAGGAATTGGGATGGCACATTTGACAAGAAAGAGGGATTTTTTTCTTTGTTTTTTCCTGCTTTCTTGTTGCAGGAAATATGGTGGGGAATTGTGTGTGAGTTTGAAGAGAGACGAAAAAGCTATATAGGAAACTTAAACATCAGGGAATGGCGCTATCCACATCAGTTTTAGGTTCTGGTTGCTGAGAAGAGGCCTCTTTTGTTTGCTTTTCTCTATTGACACATCTGAAATGTGGAACCTTCCTATTTTACACTTCTGTTTTCTTGGGCTGTCTAATTTCTTTGGAGGAAAAGACACTCAAGCAGAAGGCAGTGGATTATTAATTAATCATTCATTAAATACTAAATCACATTTACATAGCCTTTTCAATGAGATTCTGGGATCCAATTAAGTGTTTAACAATAATTAAAAGCAAAAAATATTGATGACAAAACCAACAAGGTTGTGTGGAGAAAATGTTGAACATGGATTACTTTATTGGGGTACGCGGCAGAGTGCAAGTAAAATAAATAAAAGCAATTGAAATGTATGTGATCATTACGGAGGCTAGAAACAAAAGGAAATTGTTTGTTTGGAATAAATAAAATTGTTAAAGATAAGAATAAGAAATGGCAATGTGTGTTTGGCTGGCAGCAATCTGATAAACTCAAGCCACCTACCAAAATTTGTCCAAAACGCCGAAGAATTCGGACTGAAAGTTCAAACCATCTCGCAGAAGCAAACTGTTGAGCCTGGGATTTGGATAATATTTTGGATTATTATGTGTCAGCATTTCTGCGATCAGCTTCACAGTTTGCAAGTTACCACAGTTAAAGGAAACTAATTTTCTTTTTAAAGTTAAAACAAATAAGATAACGCCTCCATGTCAGCATGCAAGTGAAGATTACAAACATCAGATGGCTCTCAAACAGCTGTTAGTACTATTATTCTAAAATTTAATGGTGCTTTTAATTCCCAAACTGTATTAGTTAGTACAAATTTAAAATAACTCTGATGCGAAGCCGTATTATTTCCACGTAGAACATAAAACTGTACAAATAAATAACTTCCTATTAATTTATCACAGGGAAGTTTAAAATTGACAGCACAATATGCAATATAGGAATAATGATTTTCCATCACGCAAAAGCTGTCCTTTGATAAGAAGAAGTCATCATTAGC